ATAAAGTATTTAAAGTAAATTTTTCTTGTAATTTTGCTTTGGTTTTTTTTCTTTTATTGTTTTGCGGAGGGGGTGGAAAAAAAAAATGCATATGAAGTAAATGATGATGATGATCAAGAAAAAAGAAAATTCTATATAAACATGACTAATATATGTGTATATGCCTGTAACATAATTAAAGATGAGAAGCTATTTGTTTTTTTTTGTAATTGTAATATTTGTGTTTTGTTGTTTTTTGTTGTTGTCAAGTGTTTAAATTCTGTATATATGATTGATTTGAGTGATTATTATTAATATTAATAACAATAATATTAATAATAATATTAATAATTTGTTTATAATAATAACAATAATATTTTACACCAATTATTTTATATGAGATATGGTGGTAAGAGTAGTGGTGATAGAGAAGAAGACGAATGGAAAATTAAAGGAAATAAAAGGTGGTAGGTGATATGAATTGGAGTTTATTTTATATTTTCTTGTAGGAAAAAAAAGAAAGGCAGGGTCGAAAAAGAGTCCATTCAAATAAAAAAATGGAGTTACTTAGGAAAAAAATGTTACAGGTTATGTGTGTGAGTGTATAATTGTGTAAAGGATTTGTTACGAGATTTGTTTTTTGAATAATTAAAAATGAAAGGAAAAAAGAAAATCAAGACGTAAGAAAATTAAAAAAAATTTTAAAGTTCGATTGCAATTAATTAAATGATTATGATTGAGTTGTAATGATGATTATGATATTATGCTTAGTTGATTGATTGAAAATGATAAAATGATAATGATTTTGAATTTAATGACGAACATACGCGTTTTTGTTCCCACCCATATCAATAAAATAACAAGTATATATGTAATAAATCGCCAAATAAAATTTTAACTGATCGGTTTTTTTCTAAATGAGATTACGTGTATAGTGAAGTTTTTAAATTATAAATAATTTCGAGTGATTTTAGCAGGACTCAACATTTTAACACCTTCGACTTCACCATCATAACGAGTTTTTTTGACTGGTCTACCCAGCTTATGTACTCTTAAATGTCTTCTCATGTTACTTTGTACTGAAAATTTTCTACCGCAACCAGGCTCGGAACATACAAAAGGTTTTTCCCCAGTATGTGAATAGGTGTGGATCCTGAGCGAACTTGGGCGAGAAAATCTCTTTGAACAATATTGACATTGATAACGATTACCATTACAATTACTACTTGTGGTGGGACTACATGATAATGGATGTAGAGATTTTGGTGTGAAATGTTTTGTGGTAGGAGTTGAAGTTAAATTTGATGAAATCGTACTTATGCGTGGAAGATTTGGCTGTAAAATCAATGATGATGTTGATGTTGATGTTGGAGAAGTAGAAATTGATAATTGTTTACGATGATCAAATGGTGAAATTGGTATTGGTTGAATGGTAGAAGGAAATGAGTTGTGATACCTTTGTTGTTGTTGTTGTTGTTGTTGCTGGTGATGATGATTATGATGATTATGAGGATCTTGTGAGTATTGATAATGATATGGAACATAACGTGAAGAAGATTGAGAAGAATAGATGAAAGGAAGGGTTGGAGAAGATGGTTTTATACAACAACTGCATGGATGATTGACAATTTGTTGCGATTGTGATTGACTATGGTGATTGTAATTATTATTATGATGATTATGTGAAGCATAATTATTAAATAGAGATTGTTGATGAGAAGTAGTCATATCAGGCGATTCAGGAGGTGAAAGCAAAGACTTAATACTGGCATGAGAAGAAGAACAAGAATTGTTGTTGTTGTTGGGATGACGATGAATGTCATTTGAATTCATCAATCGTTTATAGTTTTGACTTGATTCATTGATTGAGGGAAGATAAGATGAAATATAGACATTATTATTATTGTTGCCGTTACCATTGTTGTTGTTATTGTTGTTATAATTAATTAAAGATGTTTGTTGTTGAATAGAAGGAAAATTGAATGAAGAGGCTGTTTTTTATCAAAAATTTGATGAGAAAAAAGTGAGAATTTTTAATTTAAAATTTTTTTGTTTAAAAAATTTAAAACACATACCATCATCGATAGGAGAATCCAAAAGATATTTGATTGGAGGGAGATAAGTTTTTGACTGCATATTTTTTTGTTCTGTTACAAAAGTAAAGCTTTAATATTCAAACTTTTTAAAAATTTTTTTAATGTTTCAGATAGTAGTAATATATTTATGAAAATCAAAAGAAAATTTCTGTTTTTGGCAAAATTCAAGAAACTATATATAATTATATATATAATATTATATAGTATATATATATTATATGTCTAAAAATCGCTCTAACGAGAAGAAATAATAATCCTTTTCTTCTCAAACAAAGAGAATTTTTAAATGAATATAATAAGATAACTAGAAATAAAAATAATATGAATAATTTATTATATATAATAAATATATATCTATTTAAAATGTTTTTTTTTAGTTTTTTTAACAAAAGGTGAGAATTCAAAAGAAGTAAAAAATTTTGAGTGCGTTTGACCACCACGGTGTTAAAAACCAGAAATCACTCTTTATATACCTTTTTTTTGTGTGACATAATTTTTCCACAGTTTCATTATATAAATATTAAACTTGTATAATAATAAACTTTATATAATAGTATAACATAAAAATCAATTCAAAAATCAATTCAAAATCGCGCATTAAAGGAAAATAGATAAATGTTAAATTAAAAATATCACGACGACTCCCGTGAAGTAGTACGGATATATAATTTTTTTCATACATTAATATAATATTTGTAGTTGTAAGATTTTCTTTGTATTTATTTTATTTATTTATTTACCCGATGTGGTCTATTGGATTTTTTTTATATGAAAAACTAATTAATAATTTAATTATTTATATGTAGCTCGGATGTATATCGTTCATCACATTTCATACAAATTTCACATTACTAATTATTTAATTGAAAAAAAATTTTTTCTCTCTCTTTCTCTTTCTCTCTTATAGGCACATGCTCTCTTTTCTTTCGTGCGCGCGTACGCACACGCACACACACACACACTCTCTCTCTTACTCCCTCCCTTTCTCTTTCGCGCACGCATACACACACACTCTCTCTCTTTCTCGCGCACGCACGCACTAACACACGCATTCTCTCTTTCTCTTTCGCGCGTGCGCACACACATTTCATAATTAAAATCTCGATAAATGCATTTTTTAAATTAAACGTTTCCAAAATTAATATTTATTTTCTTATAAAAAAGAAGAAAAATAATAATCAAATTTAAAAGCTAAATGTCTTATGTAATAATAATTTTCATTTTCTTGCTTGCTTAGGTAACAACATCAAACAGCATGTTTCAGACCAAGAGATTAGCAAATTTTACTATTGAATGAATGAATCAGAAACACATAGTTAATTTTTAAATGAAAATTTGTAACGGATAATCCCGAGGTATCTTCATATAAAATCAATGGTTGAATAAATATTTACAAATATAGTATACAGAATATATAGTGTATATATATATATATATATTAATGATCAAACCAAAAAAAAAAAAAATGCATGCAAAGTAAATCAATTTAATCATCATAATAATTACACTACAAAATTTGTAATGTTGTTGACATATATTTTAATATTTTATAAATGTGGATGGGTGGTAACCCCGTCTCGATCCGAATGTGATCCGGAATTCGTATGACAATCTATTTAAGGACAAACAACATCACAAAGTTTAACTGTTGAAAATAAGCATCTGTTTCAAATATAAACACTTGTGTTCAAAACATTTTCTATTATTTAATAGTAACTTTTCTCGCAATTATTAATGGTAAATATTTGGCTGGCTACATCAATATTAATAACATCTATATAGAAATGTAAAAATACAAAAATATAAAACCGTTATTTTTGTTTGGTATATATATTTACATCGGCTATTACTATCAGCAATCAGCCATACTTGTTGTTGTTTACATACAAATTCTGAATAATATTCTTTCTTCTTCGTCTTCGATTATTGATTGTTGATTGTTGATTAATTGGATGATTTGATTTTCTTTCCAAAATTAAATCTTTATTTATTGTAAATCGCCTAAAAAATAAAAACGATCCACTCACTCACTTTATTAACGTTATCAATTATTGCGTTTTATTCTCGATCGACATAATATTTAAGCATCTTTTTTCATAATAGTATATCTATCCATCCATCTATATAATATCTACACTATTTACTTTTTACTATTTAAGCAAAAATATAAAAAAAGAATAGGATAAATAGGAATTGGGATTGATTACTTTTTTTTAATCAATCCAACATCTATTTTCGCCTGTTTTATTCGGGTTTTCCAAAAAAAAATTTTGTTTTTAATAATAATTTGTTTACACTTAGTTAAATGATTTTGAATTGAAGCGATTCCAATTTCAAGCACTACATATATATATCAGGAATCTTGTTAATCACAGTACGATGAGTCTATATAGTCACGTGACGGCCATATTATAAAAATAATTTTTAGATTTATTATGTTGTGTAAATCCTTAAATGACCAATTAATTATTTTTACAAAGAAATTATTATTATAGAATCGTTACACTTATTATTTTAAAATAAGATAAAACGTTAAAAAAATGCAATATAGCAAATTAAACTGCATCGATCTCGGAGTATATAATATGTAGACATCCAACTGACACATTATTTTAATTATTAATTATTACAAATAGTATTTTTGAATGAATGGATAAATGGAATAAAGATTTACATTTCCAAACATTAATTAATTGATTGTACCATATAATTAATTATTTAAATTATTTATAAATAAAAATTATTATCTCATAGAAGCAACATTAATCTGTTTTTTTTAAAAAAATATACTGTAATGTTTGCATAGAATTATTTTATACTAATAGAATTTTCCAATTCGAAATCCCATTTCTTTTGGTAGTATAATATTTTTCTTTGCAAAGACGGGTTATGTAAAAATACGGATCTTAGAAAAAGATCACCTCATCGTCACAATCTTCATAGTAATAACATTATATTTGTAAATCTTCATATGAAAATCTTCATTATTTCATTTTTGGGATTTCATAAATGTTTCTCCTCATTATTATATTATTACTGAATTTTTCTTTAATATATTGTCGGAATTAATAGTATTTCTGACCAAAATTAAATGCAGTAGAATTATTTACCAAAGTTATAAAAATAGAGTTTATTCAATTTTCTTTGCATGTCATAATTTAATTTTTTTTTATTTTTATTTTTTTCATGTATTTGATTTCGGGGATTACATTTTGAGTTTCGGATATTTGCTCAGTTTTGTAAATTGCTTTATAAACACTAATACTAAATCGATTTAGGCATTTTTAACACACACAAATTTCATTTGTTAAAGATTACCAAATGACAATATCTTTTTCAGAGTTTACATGTGAGACATTTGGTTTATTTGGCCTGAGCGCCTTTTTCTTTTTTTTCTCAAGTTATGACATGTGGGTATAAACTTTTTTCGCCAAAAATGGATTTACTATAATGAAATTTATTATTGTTAAATAGTCGTTTGTGATGATGTTATTATTGTCCAATTGCATCTGAACAAATTTACATTTTTAAATGGTTGTCAAATCTTACAATTCTTTCTCCTTTACCTTAAAAAATAAATAATCTGCAAAGGCAATTTTTATTAATACTAACTGCTGTAAGAGATATGGAAAGTCTTACAAAAGTTAGATACTTGAAATGTGTTCAAAAGTAATACCTCATATACCTAAAATGTACTAGTGGAAAAAAACTAAGTTTTTGAGTTGTATGAAATTATACTAAAAAAATGTATTATATACATCGAATTTTCCATTGATAATTTGAGAACATTTTCAGTATTCAAAACTTTGTAGGGAGAAAATGGCATGATATGAGTTGTATGTCAGAAGCCCTCCGCTACAAATATGTTGATTCGTATATAGAGTGAACGAACATGGCGTATATGATAACAATGCAATCAATAAACCTTTGTCCTCATGCATTCCATTGGATTAATACTGATAGCAAAGTTTAGATTTCATATAATGAAATGTTTGTGATAATGTCGTTTTTACAACGTCGTCAATATATTTGGTAATGTGGTGAAAAATCATTGACAGTGACAAACCGTTTTTACAATAATTTTTTTTACCCCTTTCTAACAATTTCAAGGTATTTTACAATTATTGAAAAATCTTTTGTTACATAAATTTTACAATGAAATCTTTGAATCTTTTCTACCAGTGCATGCATTTACAATGAAGGTTTTTACATGATATTTGCCATTAGGCCTTAATGTGATATCAATATACTCTGGAATGGTGATATGTTTGCTAGATATCCATGTAGTTATTCATGCAGGTTTCCATCATCTACAAGTATATTTTGCAAGGTAATGAATGAGTGTTGCATCTATTAAAGAGATAACACACTGATGTCGTAGTCTAGAATACCCAGAACTCGGTGTATCTTATAGTCTCAACGAGGAAACAATATGTGATATTTCCTGTTTTTATATCAATCTCTAATATCTTGATATCACAGATTGCAAAATATATTACTGACCTTGCTATCCGAGAGATAGCACAGCCATATTGTAGGCGGGACACCTAAATGTCATTTAATCACCGAATTAGCCATTTGCAATATTGCAAGTTGTGTTCAAAGCCCCGCCATTTAGATATTGGAGCGTGTGAACTCATTACGGATATAAAATCGCGTGCTCGTACTCAAGCCTGAGTAATGGGTACTAAGAATCGTTAGACAAACTTAATCAAATGTTGATATAAATGTGACTATGTTCTCACATGGGTTAATATTGATATGGAATCTGGAAGTGAAGGTTCATCTTCTGAAAGATTCCAAATAACTGGTCAATGATTATCCCGTCTTCCTTTCCTAAGCATGAACGATGGTAAGCAGGCAGGAGTGCGTACGAGTTTTAAACCAACAACACCACCATATCTTACTTTGATTAATAGCATGAAATGTTATCACCGATTACCCATATAAAAAAATGCTTAATTTGATGCGCGTCAAAATGTCTGAGATCGTCCATAGAACATTTGTGACTATATATAATATTATAACCAGTTGCTGTTCTTAATCCGCGATTGATTATTCTATTACTCGAATGAAGAGGTTAATGTTTTGGCGCACGTAAAATCATTGCACGTTTTATCGGAGTGAAAGCATAAAAGAGGCTATTGGTTACGCAAGTTAATTTTCTATATAGTATTATACTAACTTATTCCCATCGGATTTAATATCCAAGGTCATTCATTCATCGCTTGATGATCCGGATAATGTGTTGTATGGGAATGGAATAAGGATATGGTACTTTTCTTCTGTAAACCATCATCCTGGATATAAGTGAAATGTATAATCTTATCATTCTTCATT